GTCCACACAGTCAAAGGCTTTTGTGTAGTCAATGAAGCAGAAGTAGATGTTTTTCTGGACCTCTCTTGCTTTCTCCATAATCTAGCGCGTGTTAGCAATTTGGTCTTTAGTTCCTCTGCCCCAAGCTCCAGGTCTTGATTTTACTGACTGAATAGAGCTTCTCCATCTTTGGCTGCAGAGAATATATTCAATCCAATTTCAGCATTGCCCATCTGGTGATGTACATGTGTAGAGTCGCCTCTTAGGTTGTTGGAAAAGAGTGTTTGTGCTGACCAGCTTGTTCTTTTGACAAAACTCTATTATCCTTTGCCCTGCTTCGTTCTGAACTCCAAGGCCAAATTTACCTGTTGTTCCCTTTATCTCTTGATTCCCTACTTTAGCATTCCAGTCACCTATAATAAGAAGAACATCTTTCTTTTGTGTCAGTTCTAGAAGATGTTCTAAGTCTTCATAGAATTGGTCAATTTCAGCCTTTTCAGCATTGGTGGTCGGTGCATAAATTTGGATTACTGTGATGTTAAAAGTTCTGCTTTGGATTCATATTGAAATCATTCTATCATTTTTGAAATTGTATCCCAGTACAGCTCTTTTGTTGACTATGAGGGCTACTCCATTTCTTCTACGGGATTCTTCCCACAATAGTAGATATGATAATCGTCTGAACTGAATTTGCCCATTCCCATCCGTTTTAGTTCACTTCACACCCAGGATGTCAGTGTTTATTCTTGCCATCTCCTGTTTGACCACACCCAGCTTACCAAGGTTCATAGATCTTACATTCCAGGTTCCTATGCAGTATTTTTCTTTGCAGCACCAGACTTTCCTTTCACTTCCAGGTGCATCCACAGCTGAGCGTCTTTTCAGCTGTGGCCCAAACACTTCATTTGCTCTGGAGCTACTTGTCCTTGTCCTCCGCTCTTCCTTGGTAGCATGTTGGATGCCTTCCGACCTGAGGGGCTCATCTTCCAGTGTTATATCTTTTAGCCTTTTGTTTCTGTCCATGGAGTTTTCTTGGCAAGGATACTGGAGTGGCTTGCCAGTTCCTGCTCCAGGTGGATCATGTTTAGTCAGAACTCTCCACTATGACCTCTCTGTCTTAGGTGTCCCTGCTCAGCATAGCCTATAGCTTCTCTGAATTACTCAAGCCTCTTCACCACAACAAGGCAGCAATCCATGAAGGGCCATTCCATACTGGCTTGTAAAATACTTCCCACACAGAAATGTATGCATGTTTTGGTGCACATTTTTCTGAAATGTATGTGCTTTTGTATTTTTTTCCCTCTTGAGTAAAGCACATTTGTGCACATTCTTCCAAAAAACAAACAAACCCACATGGCCTTGTGTACATCCCGTTTCCCTTTCACCAGATGCCTCAAAAATTTATGATTTCTGAGCCAAGATATCATTTGTTCTGCTCAGTGTTGGGAGCAGTGAAACTGATATTTCTGTAACATAATGCAAACTTTGTGAATTTCTCTTCCATTCCTAGTGGCTTGGTGGTAAACCTGCATCAGAAAGCTTCATCTCTTAGCAGCCTTCCAAACAACAGGTGGTAATAAGCTCCTGGTGTGTGTTATGAAGGCTTTTTTTCTCCCTGAAGGAAAATCACATAATAATTACTTGGGTTCCAGCAGCTGAATCTCAAGAAAACTAAACCTGATTCATTCAGTCTTTTCCCTTGCACATTTTCAGTCATACATTCTAATTTGTTCCCATCTTGCCCTTTATGTATGAGT